GCACCACACAAGTGTCTGCCAGTATATAAACCCTGGTATCTGCTGTTTCCTGCCAGCACTGACTCTCCAACCATTCCTGTCAGGTTTTCTGGGTGTGAGAGAGGCAAACCACATGGAAGGGCAGCCATCTTGTCTCTGTCCAGTGGCCAGGTGTGTTTTCTCCATGTGGGGGAGGCCAGGTGCCATCTCAATTTGGTTCAGTGGCCAGAGCTTGGGGATTTTCTCCTCACCAGTTGGTTTAACCCAGTTTTATCAATATCGTTACTAACATTCTTCTTGGTAAAGAATTATTTTTGCTCTTACATCTGGGCCTATTTGGTCTCTGTCTATACTGGAGAAACCAGGGGTATTGAATCAGAAGGAGGAGACTTCTGTTCAAAGTCTGCACCCTCCCAAACTGTTTCAAACCAAGACACTGTTCCAATGCTTAATCACCCTTTCAGTGAAGAAATTCTTCCTGGTATGCAACCTGAATCTCCTCCATTGTAACTTGAGGCCATTTCCCCTTGTCCTGTCACTAGTTGCCTGGGAGAAGAGGCCAACTCCCACCTAACCACAACCTCCTTTCAGGTAGTTGTAGAGAGAGAGAAGCTCTACCCTGAGCCCCCTTTTCTCCAGACTGAACAACTCTAGCACCCTCAGCTGCTCCTTGTAGGACTTACATTCCTTCCCCAGTTCTGTAGCTCTTCTCTGGACACACTCCAGCACCTCAATTCCTTCTGTGTGGAACTGGACAGAGTATTCAAGATGCAGCCTCACCAGTGCTGAGCACAGGGGGACAATCACTTCCCTGGTCCTGCTGGCCACACTATTTCTGATCCCACCAAAACCACATTACCTTGCTGGCAAGCCCCAGCCTTCATTCCCATCTGCCCTGCTCAGCAGGTTCTGGGCACCATCACCCCAAGCACAAAGTCACCCAGCAGGAGTAAGTTCCCAGGGCTCTCTTGACAAAGCAGGCAGACGCCTCCCAAAACTATAACTGAAACGAAAACAGGGCTGTAGATGCACGTCTCTGACTTATCTGGAGAGGTGCAAAGTTTTCTAGGCCAGGTGATCTGACTCCCAGTTGCCTTGAAAAGGAGAGCTACATGCCCCTGGGAAGAGACAAAACTCCTCTTCCCTCTTCTCCTCTTGGATTCCATCTGCTGGGGCAGGACTTAGCCCTCCAAACTCTGACAATCAAACCAAATGCCAACTCTGTCCCTGGCACAAGTGGGAAAGATCCTGCAGCTCCTGTCTCTGATGAACAACTTGCCCACTGCAATGCAAGTGAGAGGACTGGGGAGGCCATTCTGGGGCACCTGTCTCAACACTCCCCTGAGGTTTCCCCCTGGTTCAGAAGAGCCCACTGTACAGCACACTGGAGCACTCTACTGTGGATCATGCCTCCCAGAAACACGGTCTGTACTGCACGAGGTGTCTGGGTCTCAAAGCATGTCCTCAAGCTTTCCTTAGCCTTGCTGAATATGTGCCAGGACTGATATGGTTGACATACTTCTGTCATTTGGCATATGCAGAACCAATGTGCCTTCTTGCTGAAGTCTTCCGGAGGCAAAAAGAGGGAGCAGCAGGTAGATGCATGCCCTGACATCTCTTTCTGTGTTAAGTCTCTCTTGTCAAAGTGGTGGGGACCTGAGGTCCCGAGTAGAGGGAACACAAAACCATAAAACCATTTAGGTTGGAAAAGACCCTTGAGATCAAGTCCAACTGCCCAGCACTGCCAAGGGCACCACTAAACCATGTCCCTAAGTGCCACATCTACATGTCTTTTAAATCCCTCCAGAGATGGTGACTCCACCACTGCCCTGGGCAGCCTGTTCCAATGCTTGGCTACCCTTTCAGTGAAGAAAGTTTTCCTTTAAGCCAATTCTACACCTCCTTTTGGGCCATTTGAGGCCATTTGCACTTGTCCTATTGCTTGTTTCTTGAGAGAAGAGACCAACCCCAACCCCCAGAGCATTGATTGAGATATGAAACCAAACTTGTCCCAGCACTGAGCTCTGGAGAATACTGCTAGTGACTGGTTGCCAGCTGGATGTAACTTCATTTACCACCACTCTCTGGGCCTGGCCATCCAGCCTGTTTTTAACCCAGCAAACAGTGCACCAGTTCAAGCCATGAGCACCCAGTTTCTCCAGGAGAATGGTGGGAAATGGTATCAAATGCTTTACTAAAGTCTAGGCAGACTGGATCCACATCGTTTTCCTCATCCACTGGCAATTGCCATATTATTATGCTAAGAAGCAGAATTCACATTTCATGCTGAAGGAAAATCCCAACAAGCACTTGACTATTTAGTGGTTTATTTAGACAGTTATGGGTTTGTGCAGCAGAAGTCACTGCATTTAAAAAATGTCATAAAAATGCTAAAATTCTTGTCTTTGCCAAAAGAAAAAGAAACTCTTAAATAAGTTTTGTTTGTTTAAATTTCTTTTCTTTTTGGAAAGACCGGCCTCTGGGATGAACTCTACTACCCTCAGCTGCTCCTCATAAGACTGATGTTCCAGACCCTTTACCAGCTCTGTTTCTTGGGATATATGTTGAGGCACTGTAAAAATGGGGCTCTGCTCCAGATTTTCAGTATGCAGGTATTAATTTCTAGGTCCACTGCTTATTCCCTTAGCCTGGGTTGGGTTTCCTTCATTTTGTTTATACTGCTGTTGATTTCTGAAGATCTTAAATCAGAATCATTGCATATAATTTACCTAAAGCAGAGTCAAACACAACTTGAATCACTAATTTATTGTCATCTCATGTTTAACTGGGTTGCACACACTGCTCACACAAGGAATTGCTTGGGAAAACATCCAATCAATAGCTTAAAAAGGGTAAGAAAGGAAGGTACATCTGCCTCACTGAAGGCACAGTACTTTGTAGGTAACTTTCCGAATGAGGACAACCAAGACTTCCATAAGCAGCAGCACCATACTGCTCTATGGCATGAAGAGAAAGGACAATCCCTGACATCTTTCTTAGAATGGCCCATGTGAACTGCACAGTCGCAAGGTTTTGTTGCTTTAAAGTACCACTCGTCTGACCCTGCAAGGGGGGGAGGGGAGATTTTTGTGTGTACTATTTTTAATGCAGTGGTGGTGGAGCTGTGTGTTATCTAATCTAGTAAAAAGTTGCATATCTTTTTTTCCTCTCTTACATAACCATCACATTTGATGGTAACACAGTGAAAGATGTGAAAACTGAGGTGGCTTTTTTCTTCAGTTAAATATGCCAAAGGTAAAATAATAAACCAAAACCAAAGCTTGAAGAATCAACTGTTACTAAAAGATATAAGAATGTCAGCACTGGTTAATACCAAGGTCCTACTAGGATCAGTACCATTTCCAACAGGGATAAAAATTAATGTCTAGAGAACAAGGACAAGGTGAATATATAGTCAGATTTCTCCCTAAATAATCTCCCAGATTCCTGACATCTCTACGACTGGTTAGAGCTGTGTAAAATGTCAGGTTCCCATCTATTCATCCATCCTACTCCAAATCCCTTCTTTCACTGTTTCAGTTTTGAAGAGAAAGATGGGAAAAACCTCAACTCTCCCGCTCCAAAACCTCAAGGCTGGCAAAGCCATGAGTATTTTGCTCACTAGAAATTAAGAAAAATAGCTGATTTTGCTCATTATACTCATAACTGCTTGAATCATCAGTGTAAATGCTAACATATGAACTTTTATAGGAATCATCGGAAGTAGCAATGGTGGAAACAGGTTTTCATTTCTATTGTTTTAAATTTTTCCTGCAGAGGACAACCTGACTGTCCTAATTCCAGTCCCACAAGCCCTTGAACTTTGTCCTGTTTTATTTTTCTACTCTACTTCCATAGGTAATCTTATCTGAAATGCAAAATAAACTATTGCTCTCTTTAACAGTTCAGGTTTTACTTCTGTCCAATTTCTCTGGCTATCTCCCTGATACTTTTTGAGGGGTCAACTCACATTTGCATGTCTACATCAGAATCCATAACCCATTAAAACCATTTATAATAATTCAAAGCATTTCACATCATCCCATCACCATTCAAGTTCATACTATAAACATCTTTTCGATACTTAGAGTGTAATTTCTTAACTCACTCCATTTTTTAATTAATTACTCTAAGAGACTATCTCTCCTGTCGGTGTTTAAAATATACTCACGGTCTCCTCATATTTCAATTACCATGACATCTTTTATCTTTTACTTTAGGAACTTGAAAGACACTGTAAAGGCAAAGGATGTAGCTTGGAGTGGTTGAATTAAGAAAAAACACCTGGATGTAAATCCAGATGTGTCTGGTTATTTCCAGTCATGGCATCTTTGCTATAGCTCTCTTAACAACATCCAGCATCATCTTACAGCCTGTCATAGATGGAATACAAATATAGCTTTGTTCCTTTCAAAAGACCATAAATTAATTTAAAGGTACTGCTATATTTATCTGAAACGTCTGGATTTATGACAGCCTTTTAACTTTAAAAAAAAGCATTGTAACAACTATAAATACATAGCACTTATGCAATAGGCTTCAAGCTTTCATTAGAGGCTGACATACACCTGAAAAGCCTAAACATTTCCCCACTGTGACTACTTTAGGCGGAACAGATGAGGCACTTCACCAGAAGAGCTCGACTTGCCGTTCCACACTCGCGGGAAGCCCAAGCCTCGCTGCCCGGCCAGGCTCTGACAGGTCCGCGGCAGCGAGCGCATCCGAGCCCGACCTGCGAGGGCTGGGAACAGAGGGGATAATGCATAAACCCTAAGGACAAATAGCTTTTCCTTAACCTTGTAACTTTTATCTTATCGTGTCCTCCATTAAAAGACTAACACAGAAGGGAAGGGGGCCAGACTAAGCGGCCCGAGACGAGTGCGGGCACCCGCCGGGCGATGCCTTCGGGACCACGGCAGCTACACATCCCCGTTCCCCGCTGGAGACCCCCCTCCCCGCCCCGGCGGCTCTATCCCTGTATCCCTGCCTCCCCCACAGCCCTGCTAACGCCCGACCCTCACCACAGCAGCCGCTCCCAGTAGCCAACCCGGAGCTCGTAGGGCTGTCCCTCTTCCCCGGCAAACTCCCCCCGTCCCCACTAAGGCGCTCGCTCCCTGTCTCCCCGCCGCCGGGCAGGCTGTGGGAGTTACGTGGGAACCGGCACCCTCTGGACGGGCGTTCCCGGACGGGCCCGCCCCGTCCCCCCCACGTGACCCCGCGCCGTTGGCGGCGCGCGCGTGGAGCGGTGTTTTGTAACCTCCTCCCGCCTCCTCCCGCCCCCCGCCCGCGCCCAGCCCGGAGCCGATCCCGGCGTCCGGAGCGGGAGCGCCACACCCCCTTCGCCGCAGCCGCGCAGCCGATGGCAGCGTCGTCTCCCGCCGTCGCTGTGGGCTCGGAGCTGCCGCCGGAGCCGGGCGGCAGCGGGGGCCCTGGCGAGGGGGCGGACGGGGAGCGGGAGCTGCTGCTGGCGCGACTGGTGCCCGCGAGCCGCCTGAAGGAAGCGGTGGGCGCGTCCCTGGCGTCGCTGTGCCTCGGCCCCCTCGGCGGAGCGCAGCGTCTCGGGACCCTCGTGGACTGCCTGGTGCTGAACTACCGCCTGCGGCAGGGGCCGGGCCGGGGCAGGGAGCGCGAGGCCGAGGGGCCGCTGCGCTGCTGCGGCTGCGGGAGGTTCCTGGGCGAGCCGGTGACCGTCCCGTGCGGGCACACCTACTGCCGCCGCTGCCTCCGCAGGGAGCTGCGGGCCCGCTGCCGCCGCTGCCGGGACTGGCTGCTGCCGGCGGGGGGCACCAGCACGGCCGCGGCCCCGATGCGCACCAGCGTTGTCCTCAACCGGCTGGCGGAGAAGTGGTTCCCGGGCGAGTGCGAGAGGGCGAGGGCCGGGAGCCGGCTGGAGGAGCTGCTGGCCCAGGGCCGCTTCCGAGAGGCGCTGGGCGCCGCCAGCCAGGCCCTGCGAGCAGGTAAGGCTGGAGGGGAGGGGAGCGCTCCCTTCCTCCGCCCGCCGGAGCCGCGAAGTTCCGCCCGTGTCTCGGCGGGACCAGGACGGGCTGGTGGCTGGGCACGGCAGGCTCAGGGGGGCTGGGAGTGTAGTGGAATACGTGGGTGTGCCCTCCCTCCCCTGCTTCGAGTCCGTCATGGACCTAAACGGGCCGGTAAAAAACGTCCGAAGTTTTCTCGAGTTTGAGGGAATTCGAGGAGCCTCTCCATTGGGAGAGCGGAGTGGAGGGCACGCGTAGCTGGTCGGTCCTTGGTCGAGCGCCCGGCCTGGCAGTGGGGTACGCTTACTCGCACTTACTCCGGAGGTGAGGGGGAGCGTCCCACATGCGCTGCTTCGTGCCTCCCCCCGCACGCTTGTGTGGGACTTGTTTACAGAGGAGCTTGTGGGCTCAGCTTCGTTTTGTGTTTGGTAATCGCTGTGCGCGGTCAAGGGAAATGCAGTTGGTGTATTTAACCTTGTTTCCTGAGAGAGAGACCTATTTTCAGTCTTAAGTGTCACCAAGACAATTCCCAGCAGGCCGGGCCCAGTTGCATAAGCAGACAGGCATGGAGGGGGACAGGTTGTGTAATGGCAGTGACATCATAGGTGGGTGTGGTTGGAGTTTTATATAGTGTTGGAAGAGGGTGCAAAGAGGGAAGGTAGAGGCATGCTTTTAGGCTATCCTATATCCGTCACAATATATGTGTCTGGTGCCATGGACATTTGAGATACCGTCAGTTTTTCAGAGTTTAGTCTTTGTAGAGGGAGTCAAATTTGTGTGATTAATACACCTAGATGGATCCAGTGACAGATTTCTCTGTTGTTTTTATTCGACTGAATTTTATCACCTGGTGACCTGAGGGGTTCCATTTTGATTTGTAGCCGGTTTTTTTCCTGTTCGTTAATTTAAGAATTAATATTTTTACAGGTTAATCATATTACGTTTATACAGTTGTCTGCAGCGGAGGGAAAAAACCCAAAAGCTTGCATAAGTCTAATCCTTCCAATCTGTTCTGGGGAGATACATTAGATCTAGTTCCAGAATAAGCTGTTCCTAATGTCAGTGAGATTAAATCGAAGATCTATTTTATATGCTTTTTGGCAACCTGATTTAAAGAGGTTCACTTCTGACCACCAAGTCTATTTGCCAGGGTGTTTCTAAAGTGCAGGATATAGGATGGATGTGACCTGAGAAAATGGCTGATCTATTTTAAATCTTGGAACTATAAGATGCAGACTTCTTTCCTGAAGTTCAGCATTGAGTCATAGAGGTCGCTCAGTGGCCTTCAGGGTAAAACTGATGAATCCATTATTGATCTCAAATGTTTACAGGGGTCCTGCTTCATGTTTCAGCATTGCTTTGAAAGAATAAAAGAGGCAATTAATTATACAGTTTTTGTTACTATTTCTTTTATGGATTTAGCAATATTATATAGATAACTGTGGGGAAAGAATTTTGATTCCTTTTTATGTGAATCTGTATCTTTAATTTTGGCTTTAAAATGGGTTTAAAATGTAAGAACAGTTACCAGCTGTGAAGCTTAATCAAAATTTTATCATTTAAATTCAGTACACGTGCTAGAATTAAGTGCTAGAAGCTCAGTTTAAGATCTGTTGTACAATTCTTTCCTGTATCTCCCCTCCTGAGAACTATCAGTATTCCATATATTCTGGTAATGATATTAAAGGACTTCAGGAGTCAGAGTGCAGACATACATTAAATGTGAATTTAGAGATGTGGACTCACAACTACAAGTCAAAGGTGATTTCAGGCCAACAGATAACAAATTAATAGCTGCTGATACACTTTCAATCTTCCTCCAGAACATGAATCTTGAAAAAACTTAGAGATTGCAAAGATGTGGCTTAAGAAATGTATTAATGTTTAAAATCGTTTATGTTCTGTTTCACTGTTTCCTTACTGCTGCTTCATCTATTTCTTTTTAATGCAAATAGTCAAAAAATTAAGATAAACATAAATCTGATGTCTTAAATAAGGCATTGATGCTAAAAGTTTACTCAAAAAGGTATCTTTCATAACTCTTCTACATTTCTTGAAACATTTGAAAGAGACCTGTTTCCCATGGTACAGAAGTGACTTTTGAAAAACATGAGTAATGTTAACATATTCATATGGTTAAAATATTCCTTGCAGGGTTGGAAACAAAATAGTTTAATTAAAGGAAGTATATTGAATTAAAATACAAGTACCGCTTGCCTTTAATCAAGCGTCCTGAAAAACGCAGCTAATGGGCTTGAGTTTGGTCTGAATCTCAGACTTGTTCCTGCTGGAGTGGGCTCAGGAGGTCTGTTGAGCAATCAGTCTCCTGTTCAAAGCAGAACAAATACTGAGATCGGAGTAGCGTGCTTAAGTTTTTTGAGTTTTTGTATTGAATCATGAAAACCTACAGGCTGAAGATTCCACAGCCTCTCTGGGCAACCTGCTCAGAGGTTAATTATCCTCATAGTGAAAATTTTTCTCCTTATTTCAAGTCTATTTCAGTTTATAACCATTGTCTCTTGTTTTTCCACTGTGCACTTCAGAGTCCTCTAGGTAACCCACTTTTGGATTCTGAAAAGCTGTTGTGTTCTCCTCATGCCTTCGGGAATTGTTTTCTGCTAAACAAACCCAGTTCTCTCAGCCTCTTCTTATGGGTTGTGTGTTCCAACCCTGATAGTTAGGGTGATCCTGTAGTACTGTGTTAATAAATACTGTGTCCTAAAGTTTTTCTACATAGTGGTTGTGATGTGCATGTCTTTTATTTTGAATAATTTGGTATATTATTAAGAACCATATAAAAAGCAGACAGGATCCACCAGAGGTAGTCCATTTGTTGGTAAGTTTATACTGACATTAGCCAGGAGCAGATGCTTTGGAAATAATATTAAAACCAAGAATGCATATTGAGTGAGTTTTTGTGTGTACATCTCTTTACACTTTCCTATTAATGTAATAATAACAAGTAATACAGTTCTACCCTACAAGTACTTAGTGTCTTCTTTTCATTAAAATCGTTTGTCTTCAGGTATGCTAAAGTGAGGCATTTCGGGATTTACAATATATTTGGTTACTGAAATTGAAATTCAAGCACTAGTTGTGTTTCTCCTGTTTAGTCTTTGGTCGAGAGATTTGAAATTAGTTTGCATCCTCTCTTTGGGTGGCAAACATTAAAATATATGCCGAAACATTGTGAAATGTTTTTATCATGGTTACAAAGCCTAAAAATTAAATCATGTTTACAAAATTGGATATATAAATTTAGATAGAACCAGAGAATTGTTTAGGTTGAAATTGTTAGAATTGACCTTTCAGATAATGAAGTCCAAGCGTTAACCCAGCACTACCAAGTCCACACTAAACCATGTCCCTAAAGTGCCACATCTGCATGTCTTTTAAATCCCTCCAGGGATGGTGACTCCACCACTGCCCTGGGCAGCCTGTTTCAGTGCTTGACAGCCCTTTTGGTGAAGAAATTTTTCCGGATAGCCAAACTAAAAGTCCCTTGGTGCAACTTGACACTGTTTCCTCTCATTTTGTCAATGTTACCTGGGAGAAGAAACAGGCCAGCCCCCACCTTGCTACACCCTCCTTTCAGATAGTTGCAGAGAGCAATAAAGTCCCTCCTGAGCCTCCTTTTCTCCAGGTTAAACTCAGTCGCTCTTCATAAGACTTATGCTCCAGACCCTTCACCAACTTTGTTGCCCATCTCTGGACACACTCCAGACCCTCAATGCCTTTCTTGCAGTGAGGACCCCAAAACTGAACATGTTTCAAACTGTGGCCTCACCGAGGCTGAGTACACAGGAACGATCACAACCTGCTGCCCACACTATTTCTGATACAGTCCAGGATGCCATTGGCTTTCTTGGCCACCTGGGCACACTGCTGGCTCATGGTCAGCCAACTGTCAAACAGCGCCCCCATGTCCTTTTCCACTGGGCAGCTTTCCAACCACTCTTCCCAAAGCTTGTAGCTCTGCATGGAGTTGTTGTTGTCTAAGTGCAGGGCTCAGCACTTTACCTGGATGAATCTCATACCAGTAGCCTTGGCCCATCGATCCAGCCTGTCCAAATCTCTCTGCAGAGCCTTTCTGCCCTCCAGTAAATCAATACTCCCACCCAACTTAGTGTTGTCTACAAACTGACTGAGGGTGCAGTTGATCCCCTTGTCCAGATCATTGATGAAGACATTAAAAGGACTGGCC